AAAGTCCCGCATTTCTACATATGCGGGCTTGGTCGCATAGAAACCGGGTCCTAACTAATAACTTTGCTTTAAGAGTGCTTGTCTGGTATTTTATGCACAAACTAGTGGTGAAATAGTCAGTTAACCAATATAACTTGTCCAATTACCAGTGTTTCAAAAAACTGTCCGCCCGGCGCCTAGGTGCTTGCCTAGGCGCTGGATGGACCCCAGGGGGCATGCCCAGGCCTGGGAGCCCACCTAGGCGCCTAGGGCTGCGTCCATTTTTTTAGAACAAATTGCCCCTTGGGTCATTTTTGATCCAAGATTCTTTCATGAAAGGCCTTTGGGGATATTCTAAACCCCCAGAGTCAAAAAACATTGGAATCTAATCCCCAAATCTATTGATTTTGAGATCTCCGTGAATTGGAAAAAAAAAAAAATATCTGAGATTTTTTTAAGTTTTTTCACTAAATTGAAAAAAAATCTTAAGTTTTTTCTAAGCCCCAAATCTAGGGACTTTTTAAAGTTTTTTCACTAAATTTCTATGATTTGAAGTTTTTGGAATGTCTATTCTTACAAAATGCAAAAATTGTAAAGTTAACTTAGATATATGCATATATTTGCTTTGGACAGCACATATATGAATATATCTGCATAATTTTCACTACAGGGGTTAGGGTGCCTTCTTAGGCCCTGGGCACTGGGCACCAGGCCGGCCGCCTAGCGTTCTTTGAAACCTTGCCAATTACTATCCTAATTTACCTCTCTACTTCTCCACATGGCGGGATGCAACTTTTTGTATGCATTCTCCTGATATTTCGGAATTATGGATGAGATGCATTATCTATAAACATTTCCCGTATTTGTCTGGATATTATTCCTTTTTTCTGCTGATCTTGATGCAATAGTAATCTATGATTAACATTAACTGTCTTGTGCAGGAAACTTATGCTCGTGCAAATGAACTCCAAGTTCCAGAGTGCACTCACTATTTCATGGAGAATTTGCACCGTTTGTCTGATACAAATTATATTCCCACAAAGGTTTTGAGTACTATTGAATTTGATACTCGATGAGAAAATACATGATATGCTCATAGCTTGATGGATTTTATATTGATGGTCTTTGAGCATTCCCGTCCTTATTTAGTTGAATTATGGATTTTATTCATTTCTTGCTTGTTGAAGAAACTAAATTCAAGGCAGTAACATTGTCCAAAAAAGAAGAAACTAAATTCAAGGCACTTGTACGGTTCAGGGACGGTAGTACCGTTTGCACTTCAATGAGTGAGGGTTTCAGAACTAATATTTCTAGGTCCACCAAACAAAACTAATGTAATATGCAATGCAGAAAAGGCTGCAATATCGATGTGTCTGATCACGCATAATTTCAAAAGCCTAGCCATTTTGGCAGGGAGAGTACATGATCCAATGGACTAATGGAGAACCATGGGACTTTGGGGTCCTCAATGTTTGATGAAATGATGGGCACTTGGACATTGATGGAGAGGGGGTGGGACCAACCATTGGGGTCATATCCTGATCTGGTGGGGGTTGTTCCTTCATCATCATCCTTCATTTCATTAGATGGTAATGACCCCAATGAACAATGACTATACCAGTATTAATTGGATTCTTTACACAATTGCCAAGGCCTAATGTATCCAGTGTGGAAAGGAAAAGACTGAAATGCTCTGACTCAGTTACCAATCAAAAAAAGAATGATTGAAATGCTCAGTTTATTCTGCTTTAAATCGCTGGTGGTGTGGGTATCATACCACATGACTAGAAGTTGTTGGGTTACTTAGCTTCTCATTTATTGAAAAGATTTTACTAAAAATAAACAGAACAGATATTCAATAAATATTATCTGGGCCCAAGCCAACATAAACATGCGTTTACTATACCATTTCATGAAAGTATCTTGTGTGTCATCGTATATGGGCTTGTGGAACATGCATGCAGAGTCATCTAATACATGTTCTATACATGTTTTGCAATTGTTAGACTGAGGATTTGAACCTAGTATATTTACAAAAAAGGAAACTTAAGTCCACAATATTGATGTTCTGGTAATGGGCCACTTTGGATGGGCCACTGTGGAGACTACATGGAACTTTGCTTTCACTTGTTTGTTGCAGTTTTAATTTTTTCCATATATCCTAGGGATTTTAAAGCTGTTTACCTGAACAAGTTTCTTATTGCCATATTATTATTTTTCTCTTAATTGTGTATCACCATATTTTGTTGTTGCAGGAGGATGTTCTTTACTCCAGAGTGCGAACAACTGGAGTTGTAGAGATCCAGTTCAGGTAGCTAATTATCCTGTTTTTTTACCATGGCATATGCAAATATCCTGTTTTATTTGCTTCTTTTTCCTTTAATGTATAAGAAGTTAATGACAAAAAGAAAAAAATGCAAGTGCTAATTTGATTTGCTTATTTTGTTTCATTTTCCAAATCCTCTTTCTGAACATTGCGTATGCAAATGTCCTGTTCTGTCTGCTTCCTATTTGATATATGAGAACTTCATAGAAACAAAAGGAAAAATATTGAAGTGCTTGGTTCATTTACTTATTTTTTGTGTAATTCCCAAATCGTGTTTATACCTTTCATTACCATTCTAACCTTTCTCTTAGAAATATATTGTAGGTTTGGTTTTAATAGTTTAATTCAGCATACATATTGGAATCATGTAGTTCGCCTTGAGGAGTGATGACGTGATAGCAAAAGTGTGTGCAATTCACACACCCTCTCTCATTCCACTGTCCCCTTTCCGATCCCTTTTTGTCTGTCTTTGTTGTTGCTACTTTCTTGGATGGATTCTTTTTTGTTGCAATCCCTTGCAACTTTATTTTAGTCATTCCCCTTGATCAATGAAATGTTAATTATATATAACAAAAAGACCTTAACCAATATCTTATATTTTGTTAATGGATACTTTGAGCCTTGGGATCTGTTTTGAACACCTGTAATCTTCTATTCAGTTTTTTATGGTGAATAATGTCACTCTCTTTGGAATGAAATGTTATTTGTCAATAAAAACTATCACCATAAATAGCTATGGATCTCCACCGCATTTAGCATGATATGTTTACAAGGATGGTATCTCTGCAGTCCCGTTGGAGACAGCCGGAAAAGTGGGGAAGTTTACAGGCTCTTTGATGTGGGGGGCCAAAAAAATGAGAGAAGAAAATGGATTCATCTGTTTGAAGGCGTCACAGCTGTTATCTTTTGTGCTGCCATTAGCGAGTAAGAATAACACTGTTTTTTCGCATGCCCCACTACTTAAAATGTGCTGATCTCCATACTTGATAGCTTTTGGATCTAATTATCAGTCAAATAGTTCTCACCATTTTTCCTTTTATATAAGTTCCCTAAAAATCTACTAGCTTTTATGCTTCTATTAGCAAGTAAGCTTAACATACTTGGCTAGACATAAAATGTTTTTTGGCATGGCCCACGGCTCAAAGTTTACTGGTTTCCTTTCTTCTTGTAAATGTCAGATCAAATTCTGTATTATCAGTTCTTCCCAAAGATAAAATGTTCTTAGTTCAATCAATTGCCTCAATTTATTTTGAAACCTATGCCCATATAACTTTCCAAAAAGGAAAAAAATATGTTTCCGATTAAGTTATAGGTCACTTTGTTTTCCTTTTCTTTTAATCGCTATTGCTGTTACTATCTCAAAAGAGATAACAGGATGATCTGCTTTTTATCTAAGGAATTGTACACTACGAAACCATTTACTATTATTACAAGGAGGTCACAATTACTCCTAGACATTAGATGTCAAATTGGATGTCTTGGGTTGTATCATGAAGTTCAAGAAATTTATTTTGGAACTTTTGAATCTAGTCAATGACATAGTTACAACCGCCGATTAAAATTTGACAGACAAGAATGATTATGACCTCTTTGTACTAAACGTAAATAGTCTTTTTGTATACTTTTCCTTTAACTAATAATAGGTTCCTTATTCTGTCTAAATTTCTTTTGAAATCCATATCTGTATGATATTCCATAAAGAAGATGAAAAACAGGAAATGGAAACATGAAAGGAGAGGTAGATTGCTTATAGCCACTGCCATGATCTAGGTATGATCAGACTCTCTTTGAAGATGAGAACAAGAACAGAATGATGGAAACCAGGGAGCTATTTGACTGGGTTTTAAAGCAGCCATGCTTTGAGGTTTTCTCCAATTTGACTTCTTTGTTTGTTTTTTTTTTTTGTTTTTGTTTTTGGTAATGTCCTGTCCTCCTTTCATTCATGGTTGCCTTTTATTGCTGTTTTTTTTCTTGAACAACATTTGTTCCCTCTCTCCCCTCCATCAGATCTCATTGCAGACACTCCATTCTCCATTAGCCCACGCCTCTCTCTCTATTCATTTTGTTGGTTCACTTAGTGATTAAAGGCTATATGATAATGTAAAGCAATTGTCGGGTAAATTATTCTTTTTTTTTGCTGCTAATTAAATGAGTTGTGTTTCACTAATGATTGCAGAAAACGTCTTTCCTATTGTTCCTAAACAAATTTGATATATTTGAGAAGAAGGTTACTAAGGTGAGGGCTCCCAACGCACTCTGTACACTTCCTTTGAGGATCGTCACTGTTTATTTGATTGTTAAACTTCATGCTTCCCTTGGAGTGAAGGAAGCTAACCTCCACTAAGTTGTTTTGGCAATGTTGCAAAGCATATTTGGCTGGGCATTTTGGTCACTGATATATGAATTCACTAGGGTAGTAACGATGGCATTGTTGCAAATTTGGCTGGGCATTTTGGTCATTGATATATGACTTCATTAGGGTAGTAAAGCCAATTGTTTTACACAGGTACCACTGAATGTTTGCGAGTGGTTTAAAGATTATCAGCCTATTGCAACTGGGAAACAAGAGATCGAGCATGCATACGAGTAAGGATGCTATTATGTGTTTTAGGACTCAAACCCATCTTAGGGAATTTATGATGTTTTTCGATCTTTGCTCAGTATGTGAATGTGAGAACATGTTTGCTGATAGTAAGTGGAAAAGCATACACATAGGTTGCCGTCTTTTATTTCCATCTCTTTTCAACCCACTTTCTGCAACATGCTACTAAACCAGGCTGACCCCCTTTTCCATCTCTATCTCGCTCTCTCTCTCTCTCTCACACACACACACAGTTGCACACACATGCTAATGGTGTTCATGACTTCATGTTACTATTTCATATTTTCAGGTTTGTGAAGAAGAAATTTGAAGAACTATACTTTCAGAGTACAACCCCAGATCGTGTGGATCGGGTCTTTAAGATTTATAGGACTACTGCTTTGGATCAGAAACTTGTAAAGAAGACTTTCAAACTGGTGGATGAGACCTTGAGGAGGAGGAACCTTATCGAGGCAGGCTTGCTTTGAAAGCATGGCCAAAGAGGAGGCACTATGGACCAGCATACATGTCGATCCATATGTACTGTCTCTCATCTGGTTCCTCTCTCTCTCCCTCTCTCTCTCCTCCAATTTTGCAGTAAAAGCATGTATTCTGTCTCATTTGATCTTTTCTCTCACCTTATCTGATACTGAACAAACTGTAGATTGCTACCTTTTTTTCTTATAATCTTCTCTGAGGTGTTTGTAATGTTTTATCTCCTTTTTTTTGATGGTGCCTGGTGATTGCATCCATGGTATGTTTGGGTGCATGACCAGGCTTTAGTCGTTATGTTGAGTGAATATGTTTTCGTAAGGAAATTGGAGAGCCATTGGATGGGTGTAGTTGTCTTGGTGGTTGGGATTGAGAAACAAGGTGACCTCGCTCTCTCTTGTCACTTCCCAATGGTTTTTTTGCCTGGTGGTTTAATATAACTAGTTCCCACAGTTGTATTTGATTATTATTATTTTTTGTTTCTATATAAATTGTCGGGGAACTGCCTCCACATACTCGAAACAGCCTGAGGCCACTTGATTTGGTGAGGTACCTGTTTGGTATGCTGGTGCAGGTTTCAGAATACTACTTAAAACCATGGGGACAGGTAGGAAACATGGGGTGGAGTCTTTAGACTGGACCAGTCCAAAGGCCAGAACCTTGCCGGTTCTGAGCTGGCTCTGGCGGTTTCGAGCTGATATGCTGGCTTTTAAGCTACTTCTTAAGAGGTTTTCGGGATTATCTCATATGGTAGCATTTGAGTTTCAATCAGTATGCTAGTTACTGATCATCCATCACATTGTTGAGAAGCTATGATAAAATTGTTGGAAACTTGTTGGAAACTAAAATGCTAGGGCAGTATACTTTAGCAAAGCTTTACCTACATGTTAATTCTTACAAACTCTCAATTTAAGAAGTTTAAAAGAGAAAAGGAGAGAAAACAAGAACTTGTTCAACTGCTATTCATGAAGGTGATGTTTTGGTGTAGCAGCCGACTCACTCATTCATATGCGTTCTTTTAGGAAAATCCATATTACAAATGGATTTTGGATTGAAAATTTCACTAGTCAATAATCTTCATTACCACGATCATGAATCTAAGAAAATTAAAATGAATTTTGAACCTTAAAACTAGGCTACCTTAAATTTCATTGTTTTCACCTTGTCATGAACACCCATCTTAAATTGGAAAAAGTTCATGTTAAGGGTGAGGTCTTGAACAATGAAATTAAGGCGCACCTCAAAATTCACTGAAAGAGGTCGTTTACATGTTAAAAAACCCTCAATTTGACCATCTAGACCTCAAGTTGAATATATGAAAAAAAGAGAAAGAAAAAGATTTAAAGTCTTGAAAATAGTGCATCTTACAATATATTATCTAGACGGTTAATTTTCAATATTTTCAAGTGTTTATAGATTTGTTCTATTTGTAATACTTTGTAATCTTTAAGTTTTATAATTAGAGATGAAAATAAATTTTCAAAATCATCACAAAGATTTTTAACAATTAAATAATATGTTTTAACACTATTTGAAGGAGTAGGTTATTCTGATTGATTAGGGCTTTAGCCTTATATAAACTTTTTGCAATTTAAAGCAAAAATGCATCTGGTAATTAAAAAATGTGTCACATCCCATGTCTCATAGACAAAATTTTGGAGGGGGGTTAAATTTGAATACGTCTTCATTTATAGTTCCTCCCAATGGTTTAAAAAACGGATCGGTGACTCGGATCGGGTTCTTAAAAAATCGATCCGGATCTGCGAATCGACGATCCGGATCGGGAATCAGGTGAATCCGTCATAATAAAGTTTAAAAAAAATCCGAAAAAAATATTAAAATTCATTATAAATATTGTTTTTTAGGAATTCAATAAGAAATGAGGGTACTCTATTAAGAATTTTCATGTTTTTGAATGAATATGCGAATATTGATTAGTTCTTTCCCTGTATGAACCGCCATTCAGCATTTAATTTACATCACACAAAAGGATAAACATAGAATTATCATGGAATAAGTATATCAACATACATGGACTACAATAAAGCATAAAATTAGTGACAGGTTTAACACTATTTGAAGGAGTAGTTATAATGAATTTTAATATTTTTTTGGGAATAGTCAGACGCCTGCTAATATCGATGATTCGTTTTGGTGTGCCCCAGGTCGAAAAACATATTAAAATTATGTTTATTGTAGATCGAAAAATGTTTTGGTGTGCCCCAGGTCATTTAGAGATAGAAAAAAATGGCTTCCAAATGGGTTGGGCTGGGCTTTTATTTAGGTAGGGCCTTATCAGGCCGAGCCAAAATATTTTTGGGCTTTCCGACACGTTGGCAAGTGTTAGGCTTCCCCATGCCATTTCAGGCTGGTCTGTTAAGTGCCCAGCCCTGCTCGACAATCAATGACAGTCATGTGGCCCGGACTGAAGTTTGCAACAAGCCCGGGATAGGCTTAATAACAGCCAGGCTTAATAACAGCCCAAGAGCCGGCGTCCTGGCCCGGACCATTGGCAGCCCTAGTTGGAGGTCTGCGTATCAAACACTTGATTAATCGGAAAAATTATTGGCGCCGTGTGTAAAAGGCAGATGAAGGGGTTTCAGGTAAATTCTCCCCCAAAAAAAAAAAAAATTTATTTACCGACACGTTGGGAAAAAAGAATTGGACTTTTCTCAAGGCATTTGACCCATGACAAATTCCCTTCCCACTCGTAGGGAGAACTTCACATATGTCGTGTCCTAATTTGTTACGCGTCTCGCTGAAACCGACAACCCAAAACAATATATATTAAGGCCTCCCACGGGCTCCCGCCAAACAACGAGGAAAAAGAAAAAAAAACCACGTTTTAGAGAGAGAAACCGCGGAAAAAGCTCTCAGCATTGATCCCGAGAGAGAGAGAAAGAAAGAGAGGAAGGTACGGAAGAGCTTTAGATAGAGAGAGAGGGACTCGAGGGTGTTTTCTGTTCTTATTTGCAACTGTAAAAGCAGCTCTGCTTTTTCATGGCAATGGTGGATTTTGCTGCATTTTTGTGCGGCTGATCTCTGGTATTTTTCTTTTTGGCCCTAGTATTCTGATTTTCGGTAGCAGAAGGAGAGGACTCAATGTGGTTACTGGTATGGTCTGATCTTGATGGAATTTAGCTCTTCTTTTTCTCTTTTTGGTAAGTTTTGTTTCTTCTGCTTGAATATCAGTAAAAAGTTCATGCGCTAGGGTTTCTTTAAAGATCTCTTTGTTTCTGTTTCTTTTTGGATCGTTGTTGGGGTTTTATTTAGTAATATATCATATCACGTAGAAGAAAAGCTGATTTGTGGATGTGTTGGTAATTAGGATTTTCTCGTGCTTCTTTATCGTAATCTGATTGTTTCTTGCTAGAGAAATTTGTTCTATCTTTTCTTGATGATCCCTTTTATTTATTTTGATTCTGTATAGATAAATCGAATGTCTGATTTCTGCTTAATTTTGGGGTTTCATGCACAATTCTCTGAATGTCTTTTGAAATTTTTGGAGTTTCTTGTTCATGTTTTTGGTAATTGTGGGCCTAACGACCAATCCTCTCAATGCTATGAATAATAAGTGGCTCCTTTTTCTTGTACTTGAGACTTTTCCAATCCTCTCAATGCTATGAATAATAAGTGGCTCCTTTTTCTTGTACTTGAGAATTTTTGACAACATATCGGTTGAATCTGTTGGTTTTGTGTCCTTTGAAAAATTGAGATAATCAAGGTTTAAGCTCAAAGTAAGAGCATTGAGCTCAATGTGTAATTTGTGATAACAAGATTTTAGTTCAAGCATTGATTCAAAAAGCAGACCGCCTAGCGCTTAGGCGGTCCAGAAAGCCTGGGCGCATCGCCCAGGCCTAGGTGGCCAAACTGGGCGGACTGTCCCTAGGCGGCTGCTCAGGGCCTCCGCCTCGCTTAGGGGCGGAAAAAAAAAACCGTGAGGGTATTTTGAGTCTTTTTTTTTGTTTTTAAGCCCCAAAAATTAGGATTTTAGGTTCATTTGAAACCTAAACCTTAGAGAAAACCACAAAAAAAACTAGATTGTGGTAAAATTTTTAAGATCGAAGGGTTACTCAAAGTTAACCAAAATTGATCAAAACATCACCCATTGGTATTATATTTACTTTTTGATGTTTTGCAAAGTTATTAGTAGGTGTTTCAGAAGATTTTGAGTATTTAGAAGTATCTTTGAAGTGGAAGTTTGAAGATTGAGCAATCAAACTCAAAGTAAGTGATTTTTTTTATTGCTTTAGTAATTTGCATGATTTTTGAGATGACTTTTTCGGGAACTAATAAGAGTGGTGATTCCTGTTGGAAATACGACTATAACCTATATCCTAATGATAAAAATTGCATAAGATGCAAATTTTGTGAAAAGATACAAAAGGGTAAACCGGTTCAAGAAACATCTTGCGGTATCAGGGGAAATGTTGCCCCATGTAAAAAGACTCTTGATGTCGTTAAAGAGGAAATAAAATTTTTTTTGGACATGGTGAAAATGAAAAAAGATGAGATAGTTGCCGCTATATCAGATATTATGTTTGAGGTTAGGTCATTTATGATGATGATGATAGTGATGAGGAAAGGATTGGGGAGGGATGTCGAGGTTGAGCAATCCATTATTAGGAGAAGCCTTGAGTTAGAGGTCATATGGATAGTTTTTACCTCAGCCCGACCCTGAGGTTGCAGGAGAGAAAACAAAAAAGCAAACCACCATTGAAAATAGAATCAAGAAGGATGAGAGAAATAGAGCTGCGTATTATTTGGCCGCATGGTTTTATGAGGCGGGCATTCCTTTCAATATCGCTCGCTTGAGCAGCTTCTATGCTGCGATAGAGGCAGTTGGCCAATTTGGCCCTGGGATGAAACCTCCAATCCCATATGAGCTTTTAAAGCCTTTTTTAAAAAAGGCAGTGAGTGCCACGAAGGAAGCTGTGGATCTTAAGAAGGATGCATGGGCTCAGTATGGGATTTCTATTATGACTGATGCTTGGAGTGATAGGAAGAGAAGAAGTCAGATGAATTTGCTTGTGAATTGTCCTGCAGGGACATTTTTTGAGGTTTATTGATGCATCTGATCATATCCATGATGCCCATTACATATTTCAAGTGATAGAGAAGGCAATCAAGGAGGTTGGGGAGCATCTTGTTGTACAGGTTGTTACAGACAATGCTGCTCCTAATGTTGCTGCATCTAATTTGTTGCGCATAACTTATCCTAGAATCTTTTGGACACTATGTGCAGCACATTGTATAGACCTCATGCTTGAGGCTCTTGGCGGTTTAACTGAGATATCAGGTGCAGTGAAGAAGGCCAAGTTAGTTACAAATTTCATTTATAGCGACCATCTCACCCTCAGCATGATGCGTACCTTTACAAAGAAGAAAGAGATTGTGAGGCCTGAGGTCATGAGATTTGCGACCTGGTACTGATGCCTAGATAACATACATTTGAGAAGAGTGTAGTTGAGACAAATGTTTACCTCGGATGACTGGACAGCATGCAAATGGTCTAAGGATCAGGTTGGGAAGAAGGTGAGAGATATTATCCTTTCTAAGACTTTTTGGCGAGGGGTGAAGGGCGCCCTTAAGATATTTTTTCTTCTTATCAAAGTCCTTCGTATGGTTGATAGTGACAAGCCTTCTATGGGCCACATATATGATGCTATGGAGAAATGCAAAAGAGAGATAGCCCAAAATTTAAATGATGACGAAACCCGCTACAAGCCTATTTGGGAGATTATTGATGAGAAGTAGGATAGGCAGCTACATCGGCCATTGCATGCAGCTGGTTATTATTTGAACTTAGCTTTTTTTTATATTGACAAGGATATACAAACAAATGACACAATTACTAATGGATTTAATGAGCGTGTAGATGTGCTAGTCTTGGATCCTGATATGCAGGATATTATATGCGCTGATGAGCTAATAAATTACAAGTGCTCATTAAAGTTTTTTGGGAGTCCAATGACGATGAGGCCAATGACCAAAATTAATTCAGGTATTAATAATATTCTTAAGTTCATCAAGTTCAAGTAATCAATTAATTGTATTATTTATTTATGATTTTTTTATGTATCTTTGCAGCCCATTGGTGGAGCCAACATGGGTGTAGTTCTCCAAATTTACAAAAGTTGGCCATCCGGATCTTAAACCTAACCACTTCTTCATCCGGTTGTGAGTACAATTGGAGTACTTTTGAAGGGGTAAGACCGTAACTAAGGGTAATTTGTATAATTTTATAAATAATACTTTAACCATAGATATTAGGTTTTAATTAGTTTCATTTGATTTTGTTAGATTCATACAAAGAAAAGAAACATGCTTGAATCAAAGACACTCAATGACTTAATCTATGTCAAGTACAATCGGTTCTTGAAGGACATGTTTGCTGAGAGAGATAAGAGAGACCCCATCAGATCAAAAAATATGGACCATGCTATGGAGTGGTTAGTTGTTGATGATGATGATGAGGTCGAGGGGCATGAAGGATTGACATGGGACATGGTCATGGATGCTTCAAGGACAACAGTTGGCCCTCTTAGGGCCACTAGATCTTCTGTATAGAGAACAAGGATGGAGGAAGAGGAGGAATAAGAGGCTGATTCAGAAGAGACGGAGGAAAATAAGGACGACCAATATGTCGAGGAGGGTGACGACTTTGTCTATTACGATGAATATGATACCAATGCAGTTGACCCAAGATTTTCTGATGATAAATGAATGATGATTGATGAATGTTGATTGTTGACTAATTATTAAACTTTGAAGTTTGAACTTTGATTGAAGTATTATTGCGTATTGATTATTGCACTATTGAAGATTCTTTTGAGTCTTCAAGTATTACTTTCATAGTTTGATAGTTTCATTTTCATAATTCAATTTTGTTTTCTTCCTCATGGTGGTCAAGTGGTGTACTGCAGTACTGGTGTGATACTATTTGATAACTTGCTTTGATAATTTGGTTGGTTGGAAAATTTTAAGTTTTAATTGGATATGGAGTATGAACCGACTTATGGATTATGGTTATGCTTGTGGAGTGTGTGCTAAATACTAAATAATATGTAGTATAATTTGAATTATGTCAGAATGCCATAACTGCAGAACTGCAGAATGCCAGAATCTTTATTTGGATTCAACTGGGCCGCCCAGGTTCTGGGCGCCTGCCTAGGCGCTAGGCGGCTTGGGGGGTCCAGGCCACCCAGGACCTACCTAGCGCTTTTTGAAACACTGAGTTCAAGCTACCAATTCGGGAAAAACCTGCATTAAGCACAGAGTAGGAAAATTGAGCTTGAAGCTCAAATTAGAAACTGGAAAAACTTGTTTTAAGCTCGAGGTAGCAGATGAGGAAAATCATGTTTTAAGCTCAAAGTAGCAATTGGGGAACGTAAATCTTTAAGCTTAATATCATGTAGATGCTTCTTCTAGGCCTAGAGGCACTCAGTGGTATCACTGTCTTTGAGGTATTTAACACCCCCTTACTTGGTCTTCCACAATGAAATCAGGCTTTGGATATGATACCCCATGATATATCCAGTCAAGTGATGCACTATTATAGCCTTCTCTGGTTTGCACAACGGAAGAGAGACCTAGAATTCATAGAATCTTACTGCTGAACTGAAAATCATTTTTTTATTTCTTAGAATTGTTCATCCAATGTCCATAAGATCATCTTCAAAAATTGGGATAAAGAAAGAATCCATCTAATGACTAAATTTAATCAACCCATCAAATGGATGCCATATGTTTATTGGGCTAAACAAAGCAATTTTTATTATGCTATTTTTTTTTTTTTTTTTTTTTTTTGAGATTCTTCTTCATAGTGAACTGAGTCTATGTTCAAAACTTAGGCTTACACAAGTGCTTCTAACATGGTTTTTGAATGTATGTTTCTTTATATTACTATAAGACAGTTGCATGAAATCACTTCCCTATACACACAAAACAAAGAAGATCATTTGGGCTGATATTTAAGGATTAGGCCTCCAGGAAAATGCCTAATTTGATCAAATCAGTAATTGAAATTTTGGCTGGTACATTTTTGGATGTAAAAATCTTAAGCAGAGACCTTTATATGAGAAGGAGACGTTGACAATGAGGCAAGCCAAGTTACTGACGACCCAATCATTCTTCTATATATTGCTCTGCTTCAACAAAGTCTCAGTTATTGTTCAATCTAGGAGCCCATGCAAGGAAATAGGATCTTTATTGCGCGTAATATTGATGTCTTGTAGGATTATGTGTGCGTATGTGTGCGCATGTGCATGTGTTTTCTCCTTTCTTGTAAGTTTGTAGTGGATCATGATAGTGTGTGTAAAATATTGTCTTGAGTGAAATGTGGACTGTGAATACGTGTGCATGTGCATGTGTGTGTGCGCATGCGCATGTGTTTTCTCCTTTCTTGTAAGTTTGTAGTGGATCATGATAGTGTGTGTAAAATATTTTGTCTTGAGTGAAATGTGGACTGTGAATGGAGTAACTCATGGCTGCGATTCATAAAAGTAAGGGTTTGCACTCATTTGCTTATGGTTGAAAGCATCTATGAGTGAAAATAAATAAATAGCATGGGAATATTTTGAAGTATTTACCATTGGGTGTTATGTATGGCTCGTTTGCTTATTTCTCCAATATTTCATGGGGCTTACATCCATAATAAGTGTTTACATGCTTTCATCAGAAGTAGAGTGTGTTTCATTGCTGAAACTAATACCTTGTGATTTTGACAGATAGGCACAAACTCTGTTCTCGTTTTCTCCAAAGAATTAGACTCTTTTATTCTGAGAGTGGTGCAGGTCTAAGCATCTGTGGCCGATCTGAAGTTCTGTACTTAAAATAACATGGGGAATGGCGGCTTATTTCCATCGATTGGGGATTTCGATGGTAATAATTCATATTTATTTCCTATGGATATACTATTGTCGCAAGGGCTTGGAGATCAGTTCTGGTCAGAGATTAGTTCATTCGTCGACATTTCTCATAATTCCTGTCATTTTAAAGTTCCTGGAAGTCTAGCCATACAAGAAGCATTAACTCGTATTTCTAAGTTTGCTGGGGCTTTACTTCTCTCATTGTCAAGAGGCTCAAATTCCAGTTCAAACCGCAAACTGTCAGGCCCTTCACATGGTTCTAAGCATATAAATTTGCGATCTAATACAAAACTTGAGCATACTACATCTTTTGGAGGGAAGCTTGCTCGCTTTCAATCTCGTTCTAGACTAGTAGAGTCTGGCCATCGATTTTTTGGCAAAATCGCCAGCTGTTCCTTAAAGCATCTGTGGAATGATATGGAGCAGCTTCGAGCTTTTCCTATAATGTCAATAGCTGCTGCTATTGTGCCACCTGTTGATTATCTGTAAGTCTTGTCATTCTTGGATTCTTTAACATTGTTCGTTGCCTCAATTGTTTCACATCAAAATATTTGTCATGTTTATGTGCATAGGTAAATGCAAAAAGTATACTATAATGCAGTGGGTCACAAAAGTGCCATAGGCCATTGGGGTTATCACCATTTAATAATGCAATAGTTGGTGATGTAGAGAGAGGGGGATCTGCCAGAACATAATATAATCACAATTTTGTGCTCCAATACTGCTTTGTCACTATTCATTGTTGCTTGTGGTGGTGAGGGCTACTATTGGTTCATGATTTTCAATAGTCCATAGAATTTTGAATTTTATTCTTTTTTCTTTGATTGGATTATGTTTTACTTTCCCTAGTTAAATATTGTCATCTGTGTTTTTGTTTTGGATGTGTGCATATGGTTGATGCGTGGACCTGTGGCCAAAACTCCCATTTAGGTGTATTGTGGGAGCCCAACCCAGCTTAGAACAAGTGTGATACACTCGATCCAATTTCCAAAAAAGAAAGTTTTGAGCTCAAAAAGTCCTAAATCGGATATCCATTAAATGAACGACCCAGATTCAATCTTTTATAGCATTTGATGTGGACAAAATTTTGAGCTCCAAGTCATATTTGATTTTTGAAACTGATATTAGTTTGTAATAAACACGATTTGAAAGTTTGGTGGTCCCACAAACACTCCTAAGGAGGAGTTTTAGCACCCCGACCTGGGACTGCATGAAATTGTGTGATATGTCATTCCAAAGCGCACTTAAACATGGGGCTCCATGAAATTGTGTGATATGTCATTCCGAAGGGCACTTATGTTTTTCTCTGATTCGTTACAATTCAAACACACAAATATGATTACCTTTCTGAATGGAAGTTATCTCCTCAAGTGTGAAACCTTTTCCCATGGGCACTTTTCTACATGCCAACAAATTTGTAAAAGGGTATCAAGTAAAATCACTGGCCATGTGGATACCTTTTTTTAAGTTTCTGTTTTCTTCATTTTACATGATGCTTTCTTTTTCTATTTCAATTCATCTTTGCATGTTCAATCTTACTTTTTGCCCCTTGATGTTCTCAAGGTCTGTGAACAAGGTCCTACCCATCCCATTGGATAGCACCCACGGAGAGGACTATGCAACTGATCAATTGCAATGTGAAGTTGGTCAGCATTTGGGAAGCAGTGTTTTCTCCATCCCGAAGAGAAATTGGACATGTGTAAACAATGCAGTTGAACCAAGAACTGGGATAAAGTTTCCTTTGTTTCTGGAGAACATTTTATCTGTGAACAATAACTCCAGCTGGAGTCCATTGGTGAGGAATACTGCTTTCTGACAAATGAATTATTATTTTGTGAAAAGTGACTTCCATGTCTTTTTGATGTCCCTCAGGAAGCTCTCTGTCAACTTTTCAATGCTAATAAATAATTTGTGCTGCTACATTACTGAGTGTGGACTTAGGGATGATGTTATGTCAGTTGCATGAAGGCCTAGAGTTCTATTTCCTTCTAAAACTTATGGTAGTTCTGAGAAAATATTAAATAGAGACTCATTTTCATAAAAACTTCCAGAAAATGTTCCATATCAGTAGTTGAGTTTAATTTCCTTGGTATTGATGAACTCAAATTTGTTTTCAAGATCTGTCTTGCATTCTCTAGAGTCTAGATACCTAAGTTACAAAGAAAAATTCCATGGCTGCACCATTTTGAATCTGAATCAAGTTGTATGAATTATCCAAGCATTGTCAACTTAATATTATGTTCCTTTCTCTAGCTTAGAATGTTCGTTGGTTGGTTACAAAAATGAGAAAGGAGTTCGTGTCTGGCACATGGCCTATTAGAGAGAACATTCAAGATCCATATGTGCGACCAAACAATGTCCTCTGTTTAGCTATATGAATGGTATTTAGAAGTACTGATTAAGGATAACAATTTTCATTTGTGGTTTTATTAGAGGCTGCTAAAAAAGTTCCTATTCTTGAGAATGGTCTGGATATTATTCATCAGTAGATGGTATTGCCTTAGGTATTCATTTGGCAATGTTTGTGCATATATTGTTTAGTTAATTGTTATAAATTGTATTTTGTGAGTTAAAGTGTGGCTCTGCCTAGGGGTTGCTGGGTTGATCTGACCTAGGATACAGACATACATATATACATGCATACATACATACATACATCACGTGTGTATATATATATATATATATATAGGAAAAATATACAAAAAGATCATTTACTTTAAGTACAAGGAGATCACAATTACTCCTGTCTGTCAAATTTTAAATCGAGTAGTTGTAAGTGTGTCATTGACTAGACTCAAAGTTCAAAAGAAATTCTCGAACTTTGTGACACACTCCATCCAATTTGAAATCTAAGGGCTAGGAGTGATTGTGATCTCCTTGTAATTATGGTAAATGGTCTCATAGTATACTATTAATTCCATACACAAACATGCACACACACACACAGATATACATATATATAAGTATATATAGATGATAGATAGATAACCATTTTATTGACCGGTCATTGTATGCTACAGTATAGGCTGGCATTTGCTATACATTTATGTTCCTGAGAATGGTGTCAAAGCTATTCTATAGTTTCTCTCTCTCTTTCTCTCTCTCTTAAACAAGTATATATGCATGTATTTATGAATATATGTACGTATCTATGAATGCGCATCTCACCTTTACGGTTTGTTGTTTCTTTAGGTGCTGGTTGGCATTGGCTCTAGGAGTATGAAGATTATCAAATTTAAATCTTTGAAGGTGTATGCATTCGGCTTATGTGAGTATTGCCCTTCAAAGTTATGACATACCAATCTTTGTGTTACATTTGCTATGTATATTATGATGTCGTTCCGTGGGTTTTTAACTCTTGCGATGGGTTTCTTATTTTCTATTAGATGTTCACCCTGATTGTGTGTGTAAGAAATTGGCTCCAAAGTATGCTTCTGTGCCAATTGATGAACTGAAGAATCGGGAGGACTTTCTTGATGATCTTTTGAGGTGAGCATGACTGATTATGGATGGCTAGTATGATTTAATAGGATTAACATCTTATAAATTACCATGTGTTAAAAAACTTCCACCCCAAAATGAATCTTAATCATTGACCTGATTGTCCACATCTGCATGGTATGTATATTTACCTCTCTTGGGTATCAGAGAATGAATCCTGTTAATATGTATTCTATTTTCTCCATTTTCTAACATATTAAGAGGCTTATGCAGGGAGGATATACACATGACCATCAGACTTGTGGTAAATTGCAGAGGACTCAAGATAAATACTGTGAGGGAGTAAGTGGCATTTCCTTCTCTTTAATTCTTATTTCTATTTCCCTTTCATTTTGGGTAGTCTCACAAGTACATTCTCTCTCTTGGTTGCAGTGCTTTTGAGCAATCTCTTCGAAATCGCTTGCTAAAGGTGATATAAAATCTTCAACTCGGTAGTTGAGCATCTTTTGAGGACTCTCCTCTGAATAGCTTTTCATAGAGTTATATTGCCTGTTCATTTTGTATAGGGATTATATACAATGAGACCATTTACCTTTTGATACAAGGTCACAATTAGTTACAACCATCCAATGTGAAATCTAATAGCTTGAGTATGTCACATAGTTCGAGAAATTTGTTTTTGAAGTTTGAGCTTGGTCAGAAGAATAATTGCAGCCATCCAATTTCACATCCAATGGTCAAGATTAATTGTAACTACCTTGTACCAAAGATAAATGGTCTCATTGTATATTTTTCCATAACAATACCAGAATGCCACTAGATTAAAGAATGCCACTTTTCATGGAAATAACGACTGCATCACCCCCATTTTCCATTCTTTGAAGTACCATGCCTTAATTTTTTTAACCTAGCTACCCTTTTTAACCTAGCTACCCTTTTCCATCTCCCTTTCTCTCCCTCCCTCCCTCCCTCCACAGTATAGAATATAGACCTTTCGGGTTATATGGGGTGATATAATACGAACCTTTGATTTTTCACTGATGCTTCTATAAACATGGATATCTTTCTAAAGTGGTACCATTTTTGTAGTCTTGCGTTTACATACTTGAACATGTGACTGACCTTTCCAACCTTTTTGCTTTTTTGTTAGATGAACCCAGAAGCTGACAATGGATGTTTGGCTGCATTTGGATCTTGTTTCGCGCCTGATATTCCATTATCTGTGGTAAGTTGCTAACTGCCTATCCCCTCTTGGCTTCGTTTATCACAATTGTTGAGACATCTTGGGGGTGTGTGTGTGTGTGAGAGAGAGAGAGATTGCCGCCATTGTTGAGGCACCTTGGATCTGTGTGTGTGTGTGTGACACGACACACACACACACAGGTAGAGACAGAGAGAGAGACTAAGGAATCTCGGTACATGTTATTTTACAGGGTACGACGATTGATTTTCAACAAACACCTCAGGGTCAGCTGATTACAGAGAGTGAGTTGTTAAGGGAATGGACTAATTTTGATGTCTGCTCTTGCTCTTTCTTTTGTATGTAGCTATTTACTTGACAAAAATGTTGATTTGCAGTTGGTGGTAAGCAACTTGGGGCAGTCCAGAGCAAGGATCTCTGCAGTGAGTCTCTCCCCCCCACCGGCTCTCTCTACATGGGTCTAAAACATACGTACACGTAAACACAAAAGCATGTGTTACATGCATAATTAAGGACCTTTTTATGTTTCCATTGTGTCAAAATGAGAGAGAGAGAGAGAGAGAGAGAGAGAGAGAGAGAGAGAGATCTTAGGTTCAATTTTCAAAGTCAAGTGCTTGGATGCATTTTCCTTGATCATGCTTCTTTTGTGGTGATATGCAGAGGCATTCTTCTCCATGTACATTGGGGAATTACCAGTATCTGTGCAGGCAAAGCAGGAAATCAGTAATAACATTGCCGACATGATCAAGCGATTCTAAGATGAAAGAAAAGGACGCACACTCGAGAGTTCTGGTATTAATCGATCAGAGAAAATTTTGAGACAAGGAAAAAGGATAAGATGGGGAAATTTCCCATTTTGACGCTGTCCAAACCATATTGGAATGGTCATCTTAGGGTATCTGTATAACCAGAGTCCCATTTTTTGAAGGAAGAAGCTGGTCTTCTATGTCTATATTTGTCTGGTCTTCTTTTATATGTATATCTGTTTATGTGTTTGAATATTTGATACATTGTTAGCATGGGAATTGGTGAAATGAGAGGTTGTGAGGGCTGATCGGTGCCTTTGTTTATTAGTCTTGTGAATGCATGCATCTGTTTTTGAAACTCGTTAGAACGGGGGTCTAAAATTCCAAAAAACATGGAATATGACCCTTTATTTTTGGTATACAGCCTTCACAATCATGGTTGGCTATTAGATGTGAAATCGGATGACTAGAAGTGTGCGATCTTAAAAACAAAATTTCTTGAACTGTGTAGCATCTTATGCTGTGAGATTTCACATCTGATAGTTAAGGGTAATTGGGACATGAATTATCAAAACATCTTATTTACCTTGTGATCAATTTTATCGAAATCTGAGTCATTAAAACTTAGATTTAAAACATGGATTCAGCCCCGAAATTGTGCAGGGTCCAAGCACGAGTCACTCAATCCGATTGATCCATGTCACATGAGACTCGGCTAGATCTCTTATGAACTACACCGATATCGAGAATTGGTCATACTTGGCTGGTTTTTGATATTTTTTCACGAGACTTAGAAAGTTATTGATTTTTATTTTTATTTGTTTTTTAATGGTAAGTGTTAATAGTGTGTTAGAATTTTTTTTGAAAGCGTTAGTAGTTTTTGGAAAAAAGTTAGCATTGGCGGGAATGGAAACCAAGTTGGTAGCTAAGTCAAAAGTGATGTTACCACGTTGACCTCAACCCTATTCCTTAGAACCTTATGGATCCGAGTGACTCGAGCGAGTCGTTTTTTGATTCGTGTGAGTCTTGAGCTTGAGTTATCGAGTTTTGAAGCATGATTGTCCATCAAATAGACGGTTCTATCTTTAGGTGGGGATTATTTGGAGCTTTTCTTTTTCAACTCCAAAATTAGGTAATTTGAAGGTTTTGGGCGTAACAAATCCTTTAACGTGGTCTTCCGTATAAGATCAACAAATTGGTCCGGCAAGACCGCCAAATTTTCTTCTATGGAAGAAAAGTAAAAAGATAATGTTGAGAATAGTAGGAGGTGCTAGCAAAGAGTGAGGTTTTTTTTTTTTTTTTGGTAATTAAGTGGGGACGACGAGCTGTTGTCCATTTTTTAAATTGTTAATGGGTTTTGAATGCGTTAAGTGAGAATGAAAGCCTAGACTTTAACTAGGTACAGGTGGTGTTACCACTACGAATCCAACCGCATTCTCGAGGGAGGCCTGTATTGGAACACAAATATAACAATCCTAATTTATGATGCCAGACACTACGGTTCAAGGCAATAATTTGAGATCAATTGTCCACCTTCACAGCTCGGGTTGGGTGTTTCTAGGCTCAGCGATAACAAGGGATTTGTTGGGTCTACCCTACTCACTATTGGAACATGCATAAAATCCAATAGTTGGCTCCTCACCGTATCGGATGAGCTATTGTTGGCTCCTGCAGTGTAGTCGGCCAATAATCAGTTGCGAAGTCATTTTGATTCTTTATGATTAGGGGTGGCAATAGGTTTTTATGTTATCACAAAGATTTTTAGTATTTAAATTGTATCTTTCGACATAATTTAGAGGTGCGTCTTAATTTGATTGTTTAAAGTTGATGTCTTTTAAAAATCCGACTCCTTATTGACCGAACTTTATATATAGCACATATATATTATAATTTATATAACTTTTAATCATTTATATATAATTTCATTTGATTTTGTTCGCACAGCTAACAGTAAACTAACAATATTATCAAATATTAATTGATTGTTGCCCAACCAGGCATTAATTGATTACTGCCTAACGAAAGTACTGGTTGATGGCATGCAATATTGCAATCCACTAACTGAACCAAACCACTATAGTTGCCTAACATGTAGATTACAACTGTAGTTGTAAATTGTGCTTATATGAACGTGGCGACCCATGAAAGGTTTACCCTTCTTTATTTATTGAGCATTAATGCTAAAAGCAGTTATTTGGACAACCATATAGGTGCTCTAAGCCTATTCCAAGCTGGATCGAGCAAGGTTGTCAATTTCCCAGGGTTAATAGCAAGAAGAACTTAAAATGAAAAAATTGATAGGAGTATCCGGTACCGAGGCAAAACCAAGGATCTTAGACCCATATCAGTATGCGGATATCATCTACTTTTAATACAAATAGGTTATAATTATTTTCGTCTTTTAAATTTCAAATTTGGTAGTTGTGATTTTATTGTTGATTAGACGTAAAGTTCAAATTTTTTTTCTTGAATATCGCGATATACTGCAAAATACCCAATTTGATATTAAAAGCTAGGTATAATTATGACTTTTTTGTAAAAAAATAAATAAATGGTCTCATCGTATATAATACCGTATAAGTATCACATCAGGTTGATCTACCAATAAAGTCTAGAATGGATTCAGACCTAAACCCAACCCACTAGCTCCAATATATGGGGTCCAAACCTAGACCCCTTGTAGGTGGACCCCTTAGATCAATAGCCTCGTCGCAATAGACCCAGACTGACCCGGGACCCGAGGGGTAGACCCGATCTAGGTCCATCCAAAAGTTGGACCTAAGAAAAAAGTTTAGGTCTGGTAATATTTTTCAGGTCTCATATGTATGGAATATATTTAAATACATAAATATTTTAATTTTTAGGTAGGCACCAAGTCTCACACTATATTTTTTGGTCTCGGTCAGGCGAATTTGGGTGCGATCGGGTCCGGGTCCAACCGGACTGGACCCGTTGCCACCCTTTCCTCGTTGCCATACCTAATATGCACTAAGATGTACCAACAAGTGGTGTATGGCAGGCTTTCCCAAATAAGCTCTAGAAACGCGTACGTGCCCCTCCTTGCCTCTCCTCCACTCTTTCGGACCCACCAAATACGCGTCAACCAATGGAGAGCTGCCACACGTCGTAGGCTAACACGGCGACTTGGGCCCCATGCCTCCCTCCAAAAGTGGGCCCACCACCTCTACTTCCGCCCAACGGAAAGCGTAACGGACTAAGAGATTGAAAGCCTAGTTAATACAAGGCAAGGAGGGTGATTAAGAAAAATTGATCACAAATCACAAAAATTTAGAGAGAGAGAGGAGAGAGAGAGAGGGGGAGAGAGAGGCGGCCATGGGGTTGTCTGTGACGGCCGCTATCTTTGCCGTCTGCTTAATTATTGTTGTTAATGTTAAGATTAGTGAGGGGTTAATAGATTACAAGGATGCTTTGTCCAAATCCATAGTGTTCTTGGAGGCTCAAAGATCAGGGAGATTGCCACCAAATAACAGGGTCCCTTGGAGGGGCCACTCTGGCTTGCAAGATGGTGCCTTAGCTAATGTAATCTCTCTCTCTCTCTCTATATATATATATGTAAATATAATAGGTGTGTTTGAAAATTTTGTTTCTTGAGTTAAAAATGGTTTGAGAAGAAGAAATGGGGTTTTTTGGGTTTTCTGGTTTATGGCTTAGCTTGAAATGTAATCTCTCTCTCATAATAATAAGTTTAAATTTAGAGAAACTTTTTAGTTTTTGAGGTTTTTTTTTTTTTTGTAGCACTCATTGGTTTTTGAGAAATTTAACATGCAAATATCTTTTCTTGAGTATTTATGGTGCATCTTCCAATCCATCATATATATTGTAACAATTGTTTCACTCAGTTAGCGAATTGATTATTAAAAAGAGGCCTCTCATTTTATAATGGAAAAGTTTCTATGCTTCTCTTAGAACGTAGACCTATCGTCTTCCTACCATCCAGCCGTTCAATTTTGATCAAGACAGTCATTTACCGTTTGATCTTAAATTCGATGTTTCGAAATATTTTATTTTCAGTTTTTTTTTTATATGAATTGTATGAATATGAAATTTGGTACGTGCCATCTTCTCATTAGGGCGCACCTATAAAAAATATTAAAAATAAATTTTGATAAAATATAATAACCAAAATACCCCTTGAAGTTTTCAGGGGTATTTTAATCATTTTATTTTATTGAAAATATTTTTTTTATATTTTTCGCTAGTGAGAGTTTAATATAGGAATGGATGTCCAAATTTTAGTGTCAAAATAATTATAAAAACAAAAATTTAAAAAAAAATAGTTTAGAGACGCGACATTGTGATTAGGACAATCTTAACCCGCCATTCAGAATGGACGATTGGATAAGGGAGATGATAGAACTTCTATAAAGTAGAGGAAGCATATAAAGCTTGTCTTTTATATATTTTACGCTTATGTCTCTTTTTTTACTTTTTCTTATTTTTCCCCAAGTACCCTTTGTTTCGAACTAGAGTGTTTCTTTTTTATTTAATGCGTTGTTAATTTTTTCAAGATCCGAACCCAAGAAAACTAATTGGTTCAAAAATTAACGTTCCAAACTAACTATTTAGAATTAAAAGTTAAGCCTCGTCGTTCAAAACTTGAACTTATGAAGGTTGAAACTTTTTTTGGACTGCATAATCATTCGGAACTTCAAGTGTTTATAGATCTACTCGATTTGCGTCTTTTTTTTTTAATTTAAATTTCATAAATAGAATTGAATATAGATTTCTAAGCCATCGTGAAGTTTCACAAGTATATCTTCTAGCAAAATTTAAAGACATAACTTATTACATAGTATAAGGTGGGCACCTTATACAAACCCCACCTATTAAATAATGGGATTGTCTAGAAAGAGACCGTTTATCTTTTGTATAAGGTGGTTACACTAGCTCTTATCTCTTAGATTTCAAAATGAATAATTATAAGAGTGTCATTGATTCGACACAAAGTTCTAAAAAAAATGACTCACCCCAATATCTACAATTTGACATTTAATGAGTGGAAATAGTTGACTTCCTTTTACAAGAGGTAAATGGTATATTTTTAAACAATCCCTTAAATAAGAAAAATAGTTTCATGTGGGTTGGACCGCATTTCTATATATGCGGTCAAAAAAGTATAAAGCATGCATCTTTAAGCATCCATCGGATCTTAAAGATGGATGCAAGTAGGTGTTCCATCTAAAAATAATGAAAACTAAAGGTCCAAATTTTTTCTTACTAGAAATATTATTTCTACTTGTTTTTTTAAAAAAATTTATATTCATGATCTCCATGTTAGAGATTACATGTCTTTAAAAATAAAGTCTTAAAATCTATTTAAAAAATAGATTTATTAAGAGGACCGCATTTCTACATATGCATGCTTGGAGGTATAGAAACCGGGACCCTTAAATAATAGGGTAAAGTTTATATGAGCCAAGTTTCTAAACCATAAAATTTGAGCCTACATCAAAAGTTTCACTAGAAGAGGTTGTTTTGATGTCCAAATATCTCGACATCAAGATGCATGGACATGAGAAAAAAATGGATTGCAAGTTGAAAATAATGCATTTTGTAATGTATTTTTGGACCGTTAATTTTCAAGTTTACATAGATATGTCGATTTACACATATTTTTGAAGCTTTAAACTTTATAAATAAATATAAAAATATATTTTAAAGTTATCACAAAGATTTCTAATATTAATAAAACCACATGATGCTATTTGAAAGTAGGATCTAATTTGATTGTTCAGAGCCTAGGCTCCATACAGACCGCACCCTAAATAATAACATAATTTATTCGATAATGTAGATACTTTGCATGAAATCATGTTTTCCAAAGACGACGGAATGGGTACTTTTGGAAACTAAATATTCGTATACCCTAATTTGCTGACGTGGAAGATCATATGTTTGCCAGGTGAACCTAGTAGGAGGATATTACGACGCTGGAGACAATGTAAAGTACGGATTGCCCATGGCTTTTACCATAACTACCCTTTCATGGGGTGCCTTCTTTTATAGGGCAGAGTTGGAAAAGGCTGGAGAGCTTGGAAATGTAAGGTCAGCGATTCGTTGGGGGACAGATTATTTCCTCAAGGCCAGTTCCAAAAAAAACCGTTTGTGGGTTCAGGTATATTTTCTTGATATAATTTTCTTTTTATTTCATTTATGTTAAAAGGTATTGGGAAGTTGTTTCATTAAGCTATTTTTATTTTTCTAAAATATCGGTGGTATATTCAAAATATCGTCAATATGTTGGTGGTATTTTTCATTTTTGATGTTTGTATTGATATCATAGTTATTAAGATCGAACTGGCTACCCAATTGGAGAGGGGTCTGGTCCAATCAAGATTAGTTTGATCGGACCTAATTTTAAGAAAATATAAGGAAAATAAGAATAATATCTTAAGGGAAAGCTTTCTATGTTTCCCTACACCATAGAAGTCCTATGTTCCCCCTACCATTCAACCGTCCATTTTTTATCAAGAGAGCCACTCATCGTTTGATCTTAGATCTAACGTCTCAAAGTATTTTATTTTTAGTTTTTTAATACAATTTTTTTTAATATGAAATTTGATACGTGCCATCTTCTCATTGAAGTGCACCTATAAAAAAATATTAACAATAATTTTTTGAAAAAAATAAAAAATACCCCTTGAAACTTTCAGGGGTATTTTGATCATTTTATTTTATAAAAAATATTTTTTTATATTTTTAGCTAGTGCGAGTTTAATGGAGGAATGAATGTCCAAATTCTAGTGTCAAAAAAGTTTATAGAAAAAAAATTAAAAATAAAATAGTGTAGAGACATGACATTGTGATTGGGGCAATCTTAACCCTCCATTCAAAAATGGAAGGTTGGATAAGAGGGAACATAGAACTTCTATGGTGTAGGGGGAATATAAAAAGCTTTCCTATATCTTAATAATATGAAATATATTAAAAAAATTATCCAACTTTGTTCAACTAGTTAAACCAGTTAAAATAAGAGGATCCCACTGGTCAAAACTAGTCAAGTTTTGAGTGGTTTTCAACCAAACCAAATTTTGGTTGGATCGATGAAACCAAGTGGTCGGGTTAGGTCGTGATAACTATAATTGATACTATGAAATTTCAAGTGCGATCCACTTAACTTTGTTTTGGGGACCTAAGCCGAAATTTGGCATCTTCAACTTTGTCGAAAAGAATCCAATAACATTGATTTGGTGTTTTGATATCTCATTGTCTTAAAAATCAGCCGCGAGTTAGGCTCGGAAATCATTCGAGTCGGGTTGTGTCAGTGCCCTAGAAAGTGCTAAGGCAAAAGCTTGGGACTCGCCCTTAGTCGGCCCCTAAACCTATTTTGTGTTAGAAAATCACTAACTCAACTAGGAATTGGCTTGAGTCAAACCAGATGACTCGGGCTCATGATTATGGCTGGTCCGCACCAAATTATATTTTTCTAGACATTGAGACATATGCACAGTTTTTACTTGCATGACACATGCAAATCACATTCCATGAAGCTTTGCAGGTGAAGGATTGCCATCTGAAACATGCATGAAGAATTTGAAAGAAAGATCTATGTGATCTTTTTTTGAAGAAACATAATTTTTTTTTATTAATAATAATAACCCCCTATATTTTTTTTGGCAACAAGATCATTCACAGATGGTTTTATTACAAACAATAAAAATTCCAAAATAAATAACACATCAATAAAATAAATCTCAACTACTTGATGTCATTCATACAACCTAATACTTTGCTTGAGAATATAAAATAAAAGAACAAAACAAATAAAAGAAAAGATGCCGAAGATTACCCCAACCGAACTTTTTACACCCCACACCGAGTCACCGCATCCAATGGCACGGGATCTGTGGTCTAGCTTCAATCTCGAACCGAGATAGCTGACTTCGGCCAAACTAGGTTACTACCCCTTAAAATCTCTACTAAACCTTAACCTCCAAAATTAACTTAGGCCCCCTCTAATTTTTCCAACCAAGAGAGGAGAGAGAGTATTACCTAAGGTTATGGAGAGAGAAAATTAGAAAGATAAATATGGAGGAGAGAGAGTGGGGCGTGCCCTTTTAGGAGAGATAGAGGTGAGAGAGAGGTTATGGGAGAGAGAGATTGTATAGAGATTGGAGGGAAGCACCCCTATGTATAGTGAATATTTAGGTTTAAGGTTTCTTAAGGCTTTCCCATAGTTTACCTCTTTCATGAGATTGAATCTAGACCATTGATCAATGTGACTTGTGAGGTCAGAGATCTGAATCATCAATTCCATAGATGGGCCATGAACATTATGGAAGGTACTTGAACCATTATCCCCATTTCTTTAAACCATTTCCCATCAATATATTTAAATAAAGTAAATATCATGCATTCCATAAAATTACATGATCCATGTCACATATTCCATAAGGATATGTTAAATATTATCACGTAAATAAATACTACCAAATACAAATAAGATAAGGTCAATATTTACTATCTATTCAAATTGACCATATCCCTTTAAAACAAACTTGCTATAAAATAAATAAAGCCATGGTTAATATTTCCGTTCCAAGATTTGACCACATGCCACAAATTAAACTTACCTTAACTTAAAGACTTGAACATAAAGCAAACAAAGATTCCAAAGCGTAGGGCGTGCCACCCTTTTGTGGCACATGTGGGCCCCCACTCACATGCCACATGGTGAG